CTATCAGTTTTTATCTGAGACCAAGTCATGTATTACATTTCTCAGTCTTGGTTTAGACTAGTATTATTTAAACTTTGGATGCTATCAGTTTTTATCTGAGACCAAGTCATGTATTACATTTCTCAGTCTTGGTTTAGACTAGTATTATTTAAACTTTGGATGCTATCAGTTTTTATCTGAGACCAAGTCATGTATTACATTTCTCAGTCTTGGTTTAGACTAGTATTATCTAAACTTTGGATGCTATCAGTTTTTATCTGAGACCAAGTGAGGTATTACATTTCTCAGTCCTGGATTTAGGCTGGTATTATTTAAATATTACTATAGTGGATAATACATAAATGTTTGTGTCAAATCATTTCACATGAGTCTTGAAAGAATTTTGTTTGACTTTAACTCATTATTAGGGATAGGACAAATATTTGATTAGATAATGTACTGTCTGATGAAAATCCTATCCAGTTGATATTAATTTGGATTAGATAATCAGATACCATTTTCCATCAATAAATTATCTCACAATATTGCCTAAGTATGATATTATTTGCACATGCATCACATATAATAGTAATTATATTGTCAAGCTTACTGTTGCTATCTAATAACTTCTGAACATGCTAGCATTTTCACAGTATTAAATAGTGGAGCTCTGGTGGTCATAATACAGATAGTTGTAAAGTGGCCTAATAGACATCATGGCCATATATTGTGATTCTACAATATACAACAGGTAGTCATGAGAGTGGCAGCAACAACAGTTGCAAGCACAATCCAAACAACAGTCTCAATGGGGAGTGTAACACATTGTTTACTGCTGCCACATTCCTTTAAAGTACCTGCAGTGGCTACTCACTTATTTAGAACTGCTCATCCTTATTAAATTTTTAAAAAATCAATGGTACAGGTAGCTAGTTTAATACTATGAGGAAGAATTAGCTCACACCTTAGACATATTTTGGTATGTATGCCTTTATCTACTCTCTTATATCTGACCAAAACTACTACTTTTCCCATCCTTAATTATTTTGTAAATGGAGAAATTAATTTATTTTAAACCAATCGTGTAACTGAAAGGAAAAATGAACATTTTTTTTTTTATTGATACTTAGTATTATAAAACTGATCTTAATGTTGCATTAGTTAAATGATATATGTGCATATTGTTGGACTCACCATCTAGGAACTTCTACTGCATAATAACATTTTTGTATCATTATTTATCTAATATGTTTAAATTTAGGATATAACATCTTTGTAATAATCTCTGAAGTATAAACTTATAGTTAATTGATGTAAATATTCTGCTTCAGTGAAAAATAAATTTTCTATAAACAATACTGTTTTTGTTCTAGTACTATGAAGAAGATAATGAGTGTTCTTATTTCAGACAAATGAAGAACTTCGTAGACAACTTCAAGCTCAACAGAAACTAATAGAAAAACAAAAAGAACAGCTAACAAAATGTACAGATGTAACTAAACAACTATTAATTGAAAAGGTAATAATAATATATATGACTTTGGTTATAATTTTTTTTTAAATTTCGACTATGTTTGCTCTTTACTCTATAAAATAGGCTTTGAAACACTGTAGTAGTTTTACAAGTACTTAACATCAAACGTAAATGTAGATTATTGTGTAATAACTTTTTTTTTGTAGGTTAACAAAATATTTATGAGACAGTGTGTCAGTGAAAGCTGTACAGTATTTGTAGGATGTAACTTATAACTAATAAGCACTTTTTTTTCATAACTTTACTCTAATAGTGAATTTATATTCTTATTCCTAGTCCACGATGGAAAAGAAACAAGCTAGACAAAAATGTATGCAAAACCGGTTGAGGCTGGGGCAGTTTGTTACCCAAAGACAAGGAGCAACATTTGTTGAAAACTGGGTGGATGGGCACGCCTTTACGGAACTGTTAAAGTGTGTATGCACATTACAGTCTTCATTTAGTAAGAATTTTGCATTGATTGGACTGAGTTTTCCCTAAAACTGGTTTGAAAAAGACAGTAGTTATTTTATCTGTCTTACAGTTGCAATGTGAAAACATCTGAGTCGTTGTTGCAGTTTTAAAAATGTAGAAATTTATCCCTTTCCATGTTTGTTTTGTTAAAAGTTAAAAAAAACAAAACTCCAGTAGAAACTTGCAGGAGGGATGTGTTAAAAACTGTTTAAGAATATAGATGAAAAGTGATACTGTGTGAAACATGTTGATGGGTGCTGTGTGCTTTTATGAAACATGATAGTGTTCATATTGAAACTTATTGACAGATTGTTTTGTGTGGGATGTGTTAAATGCTGGTATTGAGATGACCTCTGAATTTCATGATACACGATGATAAATACTCATTTTGTATGAAACTTAATGACATAGTGCTTTTCTATGAAACATAAAGGAATGAAAACTTTTGAAAGTGATTTTTTTTCTGACAAATATGTTGATATTTCTATGAAACATTGAGTGCTGGTATTTTACATACTCTTATGAATACATTTATTTTATGAAGTGTAATGAAAACTAAATTAACCTTATTGATAAATTGCTTTTGCATGAAATATGTAATGAGTTACTGGGGTTGTGTTGAAATATGATGACAAATGCTCATATTATGTGAAAGTATTATTTGACGTAAGGCTTTTTCTCTTACACAAGAACTCAGCAATTTTTTAGTTAAAAGTAATTTTTTTACCTTTTCATACATTTATAACTCTAAAGGTATACGTGTTTTTCTGTTCAGAATTGTCAGACTAGTTTACTGTCACTGTGTGCAGTTTCTTCTTGTTTCAGATCTGAATGAACGTTTTGTTATACTTACAAGAAATGATCAAAATATCCCAGATTAACAAAGCTGCAGATTATATTTTAACATGAAGTAGCATTTCTGTTTTGTTAATTGATTTTCATCAAAATTTTAAAACAAAGACTCCTTTAAATGTAAAATGTTAAAATATTTAAGATTGTACTACAATTTACAGAATGTCCAGAAATGATCTTAATGAATTTCTGAAACACAAGTAACAAATTTTTTAATATAATTTCTTCATACTCTGCATATAATAAGATAATAATTTAGCCTCATTGAGTTAGCTAATTTTTAATAGTTTTATAATATTGTTACCAGAAGCAAAAATATGTGTATGAAAACAAATTGGTAAATCTTAGCAAATACTCGACATTATACTATTTTCTACATTTTTTTGGGGGGCATTTTTAAAGTTAATTAAACAACACTCCAAGTTGATATAAAACAACTGTTAAATATCAAGTTCAAGTATCAGAGCTTTGGTTTGTTTTATTTATTCATTAGAATGTTGAACATTAATTTGAATAATTTACTTACAGAACAACTTTCCTTTTTTGTAAAAACATAATAGCTTTAATTAAGTAACAAAATGTGTACAATGACAAGTTTATAATTGCAGTTTTGATCAATGCCAGTTCACATCATCCACTTAAATTAATGAAATTTTCATTTTGTGGATGTGTTTTATGGCTTTACATGTGGAAGATGGTTTGGTCATTTAGCCAAAATGCTGAAAAGTCAGTAACTCTCACAGTGAAAGTATAAAGAGGTGTGCATATATAAAAACTATGCCAAACTTTTCTCTTTAAAACACAAAGTTCTTTTGTATATTTCCTTCAGCTAGTATGAGAAATTAATTCTGTCGTGAGTGTAAGTAGTTGAAAGTGTGTAGTAAGCTGCATTGTGATAAGAATTATATGTTAAGCACTGGTTGTGTTTGTATGCTTATTCATATGTTGAGTTTTCAATAGTGTCAAATATTTGGATATTGTGTAACATTTCAAGACTACTTGGTGGTCACTCAATTCACCATATAAATCAGTGATTAAGTGTGGCTTACTGGTGGGCATCAGTAATTCCAGAACATTTCTGGAAACAGCTAGGTTTTCTAAATAAACAAAAAATGTATGTAAGAAGGAGAAAGTACTGTTGTAGAAAAATTATAAAAATCATAGGGAAGTTTTCAACTCTCTCTTTTTTTATATCCTGCATAATAGGTATGTTAATGTGTTTAAGAAATTTTTGTTGATTATGTTCTTAACTACAGTTTGTATTATTACTTATTATGTTAAAAAAAACTAATAGAAATACTCTAAATATTACTCTAAGGATGCATTTTTCCAAAGTGCAGCTTTGTAAGAAGCATAATAATAATAAAATTGTGTGGCTGAAATGAAAATATCTTGTTACAAAGTAAACTGCTTCTGTACAGTAACGTGAACGAACTGGGTGGTGGAATTCACTTAAAAATGAAACTTTCTCCTACCCATTATATTTCTACCTTTTATACCACGACTGTATGTTTTTCATTCCCATGAAGATTTGTATAATCTGGTACTTTAGAAAATACTGTTTTATACTTTAATTGTTAGGAAACATTAAATAGCATCATGTTAACTGTTCAGAAATGTTGAGAAACAATGCTGTTGAGTGAAATGTTGAGAAACAGTGCTGTTGAGCGAAATGTTGATAACATGTTATATAATTTAAAGAGATTGTTTAGACAGAAATTTCCACTCAAGAAGATGTTACAATGTAAAATCTACACTGTTTATGTAAGTTTATTTTGTTGTATAACATCACTTTAATCTGCCTACATTTTTTTTTAAGGAAACAAGAGTTAATAGCAGCTGAAAGAGAAGAAATAGAAAGGCAGCGTAAATCTCTAGGGAAGAAGAAGACAAGTACTGCTCAACAGAAAACTAAAGCTAGTAATGGAAGTTCACCATTCTTAAATGGAGATTTCTTGAAGCCTGATGCTCCAAAAGAGTAAGTAATTTTAAAAGCTTTTATGTGGGTTTAAATTTGGTTAGTTTCTGGAACCTTTTGAAAGGATGTGTATTGGTTTCTCAGGTGCATCAGTTAAAACTTGTTAGGCATAGCAGTTAAACAAAGATTTTGCATTGTATGTATATATTTTATTGCATTCTTCATAAAGAATAATCCTTGATAAGAATATATAGGAAGGAAAAATATTAATGAGAGATAGCCCCAAAAATAGCTTTTATTACCAAACCTAATGCTATTTTTAGGTTTTTTTCACATATATACTTACAAACATGTTGCGCAATTTGAGAATAATTTTGGATGCTTGGTTAATTTCTCTAATAGCATAGAAAATTTTTACTTAACCCCTTCCAGTCTATTTGTTCTATTTTGATTAGTTAAGCACGCATCTTCTGCCTTCGTAACACTGCCCTTTCCTTAGTATTGTTCGTCTCGAACAATAGCCACTTACATTAAACCAATAGATAATTAATAATAACTTAATTAAATGTACAGAATTTACAAACACAAAATTAAAATTCAACAAAGTCTCTTAATTTTACGGGACGTATCTTCTTTCGTACTGGTCTCCATCTCGTTGACGTCTGCTTCACGTGGGGTTCATCTGCTCCATCAGGAAATGTCCTATTATCGATAACAGTCACATCAGTGGTAGTAACTTCATCAAAAGCTTCACCGTTTCCCTTCTCAAAACCGAGTAGAGTTTCTTCGACAGTGGCTTTT